GTGCAAATGAAGCTATACAAATGGTAAGAAAAATAAGGTGTTTTTGTTGGTTTCCCTCTTCTTTATAAAGAAAAGAGATTCTGTAGAAACAGACTTTTCTGTATATACACAAGACTTCTACAGCTTATTTTCCATTTTGTTCTGTTATTGTACTGACATCTTTCTCACTGCCACCGCCCCCCGCGCCCAGCGCCGCCCGGCTCCGCGCCTCTGCCTCAGCCTCTGCCACAGCCCCGCGAGCCGCTGCCGCCGCTGCACATGTTGCTTCCTCTGCCTCCTCCCCGCCCCCAGCCGCCTGGCGCTGTCAAATCAGGCGGCGGACACCGCAGCCCCGGCCCTGCCGCCCCCTCCGGCCGGGCTGGGTCCCCCCTGCCGCCCACACACCTCGCACTATCAGCCAGGCCGGGCCCTGCTTGTGCAATGGGGCTCTTCCTTCCTCAGCCCGCAGCGCAGGCTGCAATGGGGCTCCGTGCTCTTGGCTAACTTTCCCCTGCACCCGCCCCAGCCCAGCCCAGCCCAGCCCAGCCCAGCCCTGCCTTTCCCACAGGCCCTCCCGGAGCAGCTTGTGTCTGGGCAGGCTGGCTCCCTCCTTCTCTGCCGCCCGGCAAGTCTGAGCCTGCTGCCGCTCTGGCAGAGCAGCCTCCCCTCAGCCCCTGCAAATGCAGGGCCCTGGCCTTGGCGGGGAGCCTGAAGGTAGTGAGGCTGTTGGTATGGGGCTGCGCCAGGCCACCCCGCTCCAAACAGGAAGAGTCTTCCCAGGCTCCTTCACTTGGGCCTTAGCCATTCACTGCCTGGGTGCTATTACTGGCTGTGTCACTGACTCACCCTGCCTGATCGTCCCCTCAGATTGACATAAATCAAGGGGCAGGGAGGGTGACCTCTGGTCGGCCACTTCCCCTCCATGTTCCCTGTTTCCCCATCTCCAACTAATCTTGCATATTGGTGGGTGGGGGAGCACAGTCCCCTGTTGCTGCTGGTAGGCGCTTGGGGATGCTCTGATGTAAGAGGCTGGAGTTACAGGACAGCCTACAGTTACCATAACCCCTTTTGTTCTACCAAGAGGTGACCGGGTGTTGATGAGAAGCACCTACCTCCCACTCAACAGGGGAGGAAGGGTCTTTACCACAATAAGAACATCTATCCGAGGAGGCACTGGCATTTTTTCATATTCCAGAGGTGTCAATTTGTGCCCTACAGATGATATGTCCTGCAGCTATTGACACCAATAGTTCAGGTTGCCCAGCACTTCCCATTATAAGCTCCATTTTTTAAAAACTCATCCCTGTGCCATACAGCTCTTTCAGCTGGAATTTTCAAGACTGCATTTCTACCTCACCAATTGTTTGGAAAGTTCCAGGGGCGGAAAGAAATGGGTTGGCTGAATCCAAGAACAAGATTCAAGGGAAATGTGTTGTTTTGCCCATAAAATACAGGGTTTGTAAAATCCCAAGTGCTTGCATGCGTTGGGGCAGAGATGTGGCATTGGGGAGCAGGGTTACCGTGACATCAGGATTGGGGTTGTGAGTTTTCCAGTGGCCCACATTCAGCTACAGGATGGGAATTTGGAAAACTGCAATTTGTATGTGCTCAGCAGAGACCTGATAGTTCAGTGACAAAATGTGCTGACCATTCTGTGCCTACTGAGCATGGTCTGCCTTCTCAGGGCTCCTGGGCTGTACACAGGCCCACAGAGCACCAAAGTATGCTGCATCTAGGAGATATGGGGCCTGATCCAGATTTTCCCTGCAATTGCTGTGCTGTTAAGGGGCCAGGTGCCAGAACCAGAAGCAAAGGAGTTGGCTTTCTCACATGGCCAATGCTCTTCCCATTAGTGCCTGGTAGTTGGCAAGAGGAAGAAACAGCTAGACTAGAAAAGTACAAGATAAAGGGTTCTGGAGGAGGCATTAACTAGAACAGGGAGGGAAAGCAGTGGGAGACAGGAGTAGATGTGAGGACAGGTAAGGACCTGGGCAGAAAGGGAGGATAAGAGCAGAAGCTGGGGTGAAGATGGGACAGGGGTAACCTGGGGGGCATCAGCTAAAAACTCCCATCTGGGACTTGGAAATGAACACAGAAGTCCTGAGTCTCACTACTCATCTACAGCATTGAACCCACTGGCAAATGGTGTATCATGTCCCTCTGTTGCCTGAACCATATTCCCAGAATACTGCTCCTAACTGGCTCCTCCATACCTGACTGTCTGCTATGTCGTACCAGGGATCCCTGCATCATCCAGTGCCATACATAGATGGTGCTCTGGAAATGAGCTGGGCAGGGAAGGAGGTCCTTATCTGTAGGACTCTGGCTTCACTTGTCATAACTCTTGGAAGATATGCAGTGAAAGGAGCAGAGGCTTGCAGGAAGGGGAAAGGAGGGGCTCATGGTTACACAGCTGGGATTCTATCCCCAGAGTCCCTGTGTGATGCTGAGTAGGTCATAGAAACTAGATGTGTCTCAGGTGTTCACTACCAGCGTATATCTCACTTTTTGAATGCCCAGTTTACAGAGGAGCTGAGTTCTGGCTGCAGCTAAATATAGTGGGAGCTCAGCTTGGAATTTGCAATCTACTAGACATGGGTTGGCAACCTACAGCCCATGGGCTGGATCCAGCCTGTGGACCCACTGGACTCAGCCCAAGAAGCTGAGGGTTTCCATGGAATTCAGTGACAGGAGAAATGACAAAGGCAGCTAGGTCCTACCACGGGCCACCTTGGACCCAAACGGAGTCATGTTCACCCCACCACTGGAAACCACTGCTGACTATTATGCTAAAGCAGTGGTTCGCAACCTTCTTAGAGGAAAGCACCCCCTCTGACAATGCCAGCCCTTTATTTTCACTCATTTTCTTACTACAGAAAAATGATACAGCAATTCTTCTGTTGGAAAAAGCTCAGAAAACCCACAACAGGCCAGAATGTTGTTAACACTATGGATTCCTATTTGAAAGGGTTTATCCTGTGAATTACATTTGCACACCTAACAATTCAAATATCACATGGCATCCCACAGCACCCTTGAAATGATTGTAAGACACCCCAGAGTGCTGTAGCACCCTGAGAATCACAGTGCTAGAAAAACACCAGACACTCTCTATTCACTTCCCAGGTGTCTGAGATTGGATGCCAAACATCCAATTCGAACCCTTCAGACGGCTTCGGCCTTAATCTCTCTCATCTTCATCTCCCCATCTATAAGAGGGGGCTAGAGCCAGTGCACATCTCACAGGGGGATTGGGAAATAAAGGAATGAGGAGCAATCTGAGGCTATGGTGAGAGACTCAGGAGGGACTGAATAGTTGGTATTTAATGCTGGGTTTAGACAGCACACAGCAACTAAGGCCTGAGGCACTCTTACAGAGTGAAGTGAGCAAAATGAAAGAGGGATTAGCTGTCCATTTGCTGGATGCAGCAGGCATCTCAAATTAAAAATGGCACACATTCACTTCATTAAAGATACACTCAACGTCCACACACAGAGGGGCCAAGCGGAGGTCACACCATAGACTTTAACACTGGTATATCCTGACTTTCAAGTGCTTTGCAGCCTTCATGCAGCTTTCCTGGATATTACATGTAATCGCCAGCAGTTTCTGAACTCAGATCCATGATGCCTGATTCCAGCCCAGCTTCTGTTTGGCTTGTGAATGCCTCTCCCCTCTCTATTCAGAATCAGGCCTGCTCACTTCGGTGACATAAGTAAGAGATTAGACCTGGACCATATGATCCCTGTGCAGCCAGCACAGCCTGGGAGAAGGAACTACTTTCTGTTCCCAGATCCTCCATCATCAACAGAACGATTAACTAAGGATCCAGTCCAACAGCATGTTCCACACTGGCAGATCCCTGCACCCAGGCAGTGTTTTGAAGATTCAGAGCCAATATTCTTGGTTCCATAGCTAGCAATGCAAATCCAGTCTTCAAATTACCCCATCAACTATCCCTGAACCTTCTCTAAGGGGAGAACATAGTTGCCCAGATGTAGCCAAAACCATCATTCTCTTTGTAGAATCTCTTGCTGGTAGAGAGCAAAAGGCAGATGTGCCCAGTTTGGCTTGCTGAGCTTTGTAGGCCTGGTAGTGAGCAATATCAGCCTTTTCCTTCTAAACCAATGGCCCTGCATCTACCATCACTAACAGACAGTAACATGTGGGCTCCGTGGTGGCATTTTTACAGAGTCATTTCCCAAAGCAGAAGTGCTCCTAGTGCTGATGTTTCTTTCCCCCTTCCTGCTTCCTCAGCCGCAGTGAGGTGAGGATGCCATCTCCAGAGCCAAAAGTCCCTTAGATATGAACACTTGTAGATTACTTCTTCCTTTAATCAGTGATAGGGGCTATTTTTGTCTAAAGCTGTCCCTACCTCCAGTAAATGAGAACATGGGGGCTGGTTGAATTATGCTCAAGAAGCGTGGTCAGACTTCATCCCACTTAATGTCCAGAAGGACTGGATGGGGGAAGATGTCTCAGACCCGTGATGGAGCTACAGAGATCCAGGGGGCTGTATTGATGTGCTGTGACCCCCGCCTTCCCCCAGACCCCAGACATCAGAGGACAAGCAGCTCCACCCTACACAGCACTTGAGCAACATCAGTTTCAGTTCTTTTCCCGTCCACAAGAGGTTGCAAGTTTTTAAAGTCTTAAGAGACAAGGGTGCGAGGAGGCAGTTTTAATTTCTCCTGGGTGGAGCTACAACCTGCTGCATTCTCAAGAAGCTTGATCCTGTTGTCTCCACCAGCAGGTAGCCAGACTGAGCTGGAAGGGAAATGAGAAATTGTTTGCAATGTTTAAGATCCCAGATCAGGAATAGAGTAAGGCCCTGATCCCTCAAGCTGTTTGATGTGGGTGGATCCAGGATAAA